ATAATTACACCAATACATTTTCCATACCTAAAATGTCCTTACCTTCATTCACTATTATAATATTTTAGATATTGGTTGTATCAGTTCTGTTTACAAGCCTCCTATAAGGAATATATATAGGGAAAATCCGGGTCTGGACCTCTAATATGGGCATGACAGACCCGTTTACATAAATGGACTGATAGTATGAAAAACTAGTCTAGAACATCTGAATAATAATGTACAATAATATGAATCCGCTAAACGTGTGTGAGCCGCTGTCCAGACCCAGTAGTCGGCAGACCGGGGGTCGGAGTCCATATACTCCATCAATCATATTGGAAAAGATTTTAGTTATATAGGAATACTTATTTATACGTTTTTTTTTATTTTATTAATTATTTTGGGTACATCTCTATCGTGCATCGCACAGGTGGATTACTAGCTAGTTACTTTCAATTTTTTACCAAATTATTTTTCAGAGCTAGGGATACTTTTTACACAAACTTCTCCATATTGTTTTTTGAATTTTAATTCCTAATTCCTAAAGTAACGTTTTACGGAGCATTAATTATACTACGTAAATGTAAAGAGTAAATAAAAGTGTCTAATATACACACATTCTCTAATATAAAAGTGTCTATTATATAAAAGTGTCTAATGTGAAATTGGTACGGACAAAGGGAATTTCCGACTGTTTAATTAAAAGAAGGCATTGGGATGGTCCATGCGGATGTTAACGCAATATGATTTCTGCCCGAGAACATTCTTATCAGGCCGGTCTAACGGGAATTGCCGTTAGGGCGAGGTTATTTGGGGGCCTTCTCGGTGCACTTTGTTGATGAAATGTTTGAGCATGGTGTCCTTAATCAAGTGTAGATGACTCCCATTAATGCAAGTTACTTTCTCTCTCTCTAACTCGTAGCTCTTCCTTCTTTCTATAATACCGCTAGACGCTAGTGGTTTATCGGGAAGCTACCAAACCAAAAGGTGCAACGTATGAGTCTTTTTGTGCACGATATTGGGGTAAATGTGGTATTCACACGCTCTCTTGTTCAACGTTGTTCTTATTTGATTATGAATCTATATGTGTGTGTGGAAGACATGTCATCCTCACTACCTAAAATGTGCTCCATACATTTATGCATACTCCTTTCGTACCTTAGAACGTTATTAGGTGTGACCGACACGAGAAATAATAAGTAAAAAATGTATGGTTGATATTTTTTCAAAAGAAAGAAAAATAACAGGAATCACAATTTAATTAAATAAAAAGAAAAATAATAAAGTTTTTGAGACACTCAAAAAAATAAAATGTGTCAAAAATAAAATTATAAGAGTGAGTATTAATTCGTGATACTCTCATACTATATATTCCACAGCTAGAAGTACTTCTAAATTACATCTGTACCTTTTAGGACAAAAATAAAGAAAAGCTATCTTGGCCTTATGCTACACAACTAAGTTTCTTTTGTTTTGAGAAAACCACTTTTGTCATCTTTATTTGTCTCTTTGTAGTGTCTATCTCTTTTGTGATTGACGAATCATTGATTTATTTATACTTGGTCCAAAAAAAAGGTGGAATCTCCCACCCCAGGAGCCCCCCATACCTCGACCCGACAGGATTTTTGGAAGGATGTTAATCACGGTGACTCAGTCGGCCCAATGATGATAGGCCTTTTTCCCGTGCGCACCAGAGGCCCAGCCTTATTTCAGGTTCTGTGACCTTCACACGGCCGCTGCGGGTTTCGAACCTTGGTCACTTGGTCCAAATTTCCCACCACTGAACCAACTGAGCTATCATGCGGGTATTGATGTATTTATACTCGGACTACTTGCATCCCACACTCACAAACTTTAAGAGAAAATTCTTTGTATATGATTATCACATAAACAATGTGTATAGGATTATCATTGTTTTCTTTCTAAAATATTACTTACTAGCTTTGAAGCCCGTGCGATGCACGGACATTATGTAATTTAACTAATTTGAAATTTAATTTCTATCGGATCACATATAATGTGATTTAAAAGAAAATTAAACTTAGTCTAATATAGAGTCTGTTTGATAATACTAAAGTAAATAGAATTAACTTATTTTGCTGAAATTGATTGAATTCTAGTTAAATAGGTGGAATCTTCTGAATCATGAAAAATATATGTGAAATATATTCCATTTGTGAAACAAAGAAAAATATATATGAAAAAAAGTTAAATTGGTCTTCTACATAAGCATCTCAAGTAAACATAATTGTTATGAACCCAATAATAAAAAAATTCTATATTTCTTAATTGTTAGATCTTACAGTTTACTCATTAATAAGAACGTTTTTAATTGAATTAAAATTTCGGGTTTGATTTGGTATGAATTAATATGGTCTATTAGATGTCTGATTTTTATGTGACTTATTGTTATAATTATAAAAGTTTGATCTGATCTGATTTAATCTGGAACTGAAATCAATAAAATTAAAAACATTCTGTTAAAATAAAAGTAGGAATTCGTAAACCTATAAAGATTTTCTAATTCGGATTAGGAATCTATTTCAAAAGTGAAGGCATATTTGAATTTTAGGTGTAAATTAAAGAAACAACAAAAAAAAATTACTTATTTGGCTAAGCTAAACATATTTACTTGTGAAAATATATATACTTTATGTCGGTTATAATTTTTAATTTCATTTTTAATTATTTACTTATTTGATGCTTACTAATTTATTAATAAGTGTCAAATTAATAAGTAAACTAATTTGCATATTTGTTTCTATTTAATTCGGTGTAGTAAACTAATATAAATTAGTTTCCATATCAATAAACGTTATTAGAATTTCACTTTGATAACCAAAAATTATTTTACTTATTTGAAGCTTACCAAATTAATTAAGGTGGATTTATAAGGATTTTTGTTTCCATATCAATATGCAATCAAAAATAGAATCTAATAAAAACAAATGGTATAAAAATAAGTAATTAATTGTTATATATAATGACATGTCAGGATTATGTGGCGCTTTGTATGCTCTTAAAAAGTTCCTCTTATATATATATATATATATATATATGATTCACTTCTAATAGGGAAAGTTTTATACTTTTAATATGATCAAATAAGTCATATTAAGGCAATAAATATATGTACTCATATTTGTGCATTTTGTCTAAGTTTTAGTCATAGGCTAAAGGGTCAAATAGGTCCTTGTACCTTTTCGGATTGCTCAATTTGCCCCCTCAACCCAAAAAAGCTCCAATTGATCATATTTAGAGCAATTTCTAAAAATATAAATATGAGTTTTAGTACCTTCAATAAAATCCACTTAGCATATGTAATATGTGCCATGAATTTTGAGAGTCATCTATATGTTGGTTGTTAAAAATCATTATTCTTAGCTTGTCGTGATATTTGTTTACATATCTATTTAGTAATATATTGATTAAATTGTTATAAGCGTTGTTATTATCAACTTTCTCGTTAAACTTTTTTTGGTTAAATAAAAGTATAATTGTTCAATTAAAATTGAGTTATTTGTGGAGCCATCATGGGATAAAAATTTGTTTTCCGTTTTTTGCCAAAAAACTCAAGAACTTAGAACTTCATATTTTTTCAAATTATTATACGTATGCAATATTGATGTCATATGAAAGATCATAAAAATTACGAATTATGATATATTTTTTGCATTGTAACTCTTTTTTATGCTTTTTTTTTATCCTTCGGGCTATCAACAAGCTCTCTGTTTTTAGTTCCATCTTACCCATTTTTATTTTTAGCCCCTCAGTTGTTCCCAAATGTAACATTTTAGGAGTCCAAAACCTCCATTTTTAGCATCTTGGATTCCTAATACTTTTGGACAACACAATAATAGAGTGCATATCAAATAAAAATATATTGATATGCACTCTTGGTTCCAATACTGTGCTTTTTCGCAATATAAACCAAATCTGATACGTTGGCATTTCAATAGTCATCAAATCTCAAATCCAATGCACGGAAATTGTTCAGATGTTTCACACTAATTAAGGTTTCTTTTTATTTGACCCTACACACACTTATATAGGCCCAAGATGCACTATTCTAATCCTCTTTCTTTTTTAGCAATTTAATGAGTTCATTGTCCAATTTTTATGATCATTTGTATTGACTATTGATTTTTACTGTTAGAATTAAAATTTGGAAAAATAGACATGTAATACTAACTTTTTAACTTTCAATACGAATCTAAGATTAAGATTAATTCTTCATTGAAAATAGTTTTTTCTTTAGTAAAATTTAAGTTTTAACACAATCTCACAATTAAAACTAATACTATCGTATTTGATATGAATAAGTAAAAACATTGGGATAATTGAATTCATCTTTACTCTAAAATTAAAAAAATTAAGGTCATTCATCATTTGCATGAAATGAAAGAGGTCTAAAATTACTCATTCTCAATCTACTTTATTTGGTACGAGACTGTTTTCCTTCTTTCATTAGTTATTTTAGATTCACTATTTATGCATAGGCGGTTTGTAACAAATACGAAGTATTACATAAAGAATTACTCCATATTTATTTATCAAATATTCAATTTTCTTTTTTTATATTTAAAATCACTTCTATTTTTCAAACACTACATATTTTATTGTAAAATATTTTCCCTATAATCTATTAAAAAACATCAATTTTCAATAATCTCTTACTCGGTGGAGTATTGTTTTACTCCGTAGAATTCATTTTTTTTGTTCATTTTCCATACATTTTTCATTTCCGTATTTGAAAAGTTCTATTCTACATTTCTCTTTTATTTCCTACTTTTGTCATTTTTTTCATTTACTTCCTACGTTTCCCTCTCATATTTGCCACTTTTTATACCTCGTATGTTTTTTTTTTGAATTTTTTTACCTCGTATGTTATTATTATTTCCTTTATTTCATTAGATCGAGTTATAAATGAAAATAACAGGCATCTTAACTAGGAATGTATAGGGTGTGAAATAGGCGGGTCACATGCTAACCATTCATAATTGTAAATCACGCGCAGTATTAAATCTGATTTCATGTGGAAAAAACTTCCGAGCAACAGTAACCTGTCGGTATTAATATGGTCCGGCCATTTCGTTCCATGTTTGACCAAGAAACCAGGATAATCAATTCCATTAGAAGCTGATAATCCACTTATTTGCACTCAAATTCCGGATCATCATTTTCCCTAACACCGATTCATCGTCATCTTTATTTTTACTTTTTTCTTTACGATCTTCGTCGTTTATGTACGTTGCTCGTACGCGGCTTCTGTCTGGAAATCACTGGGAATCTCCGCATCATCTGACAAAGAATGACCCCTTTTTAAAGACTTTTCTCCCTCTCATTGGAGGACCATTTTCCCAGAATTTTTCCATATGTAATGCGTGTCTGGAAGCAAGAAAAGTTAATCTCACAAAGTTGAGTGGTTAAAAATGGAGAGCTATTTGAATGAGAACTTTGGGGGGGTGAAGGCGAAGAACTCGTCGGACGAGGCGCTGCAGCGGTGGCGGAGCCTTTGCGGCGTCGTGAAGAACCCCAAGCGCCGCTTCCGCTTCACCGCCAACCTCTCCAAGCGTTATGAGGCTGCTGCCATGCGCCGTACAAATCAGGTACCATTTTGACTGAATATTTGATATATAAACAGAGGAATTTGTATGTTCTTTGGTAATGTTTCCATTCATTGTTTGGATCACACTTTCCAAAAGGAAGTTTTGATGTGTTTCTGTTACTTTATAGGAGAAATTGAGGATTGCAGTTCTTGTTTCAAAGGCTGCGTTTCAGTTCATACAGGGTGACTAAACCTATCTTTGACTTTCTTGTTTTTGTAATTCCGTCATTTCTGTCCATCAGAGTTGCTGATGGCCTTTTTTTCTTTAAAAAAACGATCGTAGGGGTGAAACCGAGTGAGGATTACACTGTGCCTAAGGAGGCAGAGGCCGCGGGATATCGAATTTGTGCAGAAGAACTGGGAACATTAGTTGAAGACCATGATCTGAAGAAACTGAAATTCCATGGTGGGGTGGAGGGTATTTCTGGAAAGCTGAGAACCTCTATTGACAATGGCCTCACTACTGATCCAGAAGCTCTTAACCGCAGGCAGGAGCTTTTCGGCATCAACAAGTTTCTTGAAAGTGAACCCAAGAGCTTTTGGGTTTTCGTATGGGAAGCCCTTCAAGATATGACTCTAATGATTCTCGGCATTTGCGCCCTGGTTTCCCTACTCGTTGGTCTAGCAACCGAGGGATGGCCTAAAGGGGCCCATGACGGGCTCGGGATAGTCGCGAGTATCCTATTGGTTGTGTTTGTCACTGCCACCAGTGACTACCGTCAGTCTTTACAGTTCAGAGACTTGGACAAGGAAAAGAAGAAAATATCCATTCAGGTCACTCGGGATGGATATAGACAGAAGATGTCAATATACGAACTTGTTCCTGGGGACATTGTGCATCTTGCAATTGGAGATCAAGTCCCCGCAGACGGACTTTTCCTCTCCGGATTCTCAGTTTCGATAGATGAGTCGAGTTTGACGGGTGAGAGTGAGCCGGTAATGGTCAGTGAAGAAAACCCTTTCCTATTATCCGGAACCAAAGTCCAAGATGGTTCCTGCAAGATGTTGGTCACCACGGTTGGGATGAGGACACAATGGGGAAAACTCATGGCCACCCTCAGCGAAGGAGGAGATGATGAAACTCCCTTGCAGGTGAAACTAAATGGGGTGGCGACAATCATAGGAAAAATCGGGCTCTTTTTCGCAGTTGTGACATTCGCCGTGTTGATCCAGAAGATGTATGTCAGGAAGCTCCATGAAGGGACCCACTGGAGTTTGTGTGGTGAGGATGCACTCGAACTGCTGGAATACTTCGCAGTAGCTGTCACCATTGTGGTCGTTGCTGTCCCCGAGGGACTACCCCTGGCGGTCACACTAAGCCTGGCTTTCGCCATGAAACAGATGATGAATGATAAGGCTCTCGTACGAAACCTGGCCGCGTGTGAGACAATGGGGTCTGCCACGACGATCTGCAGTGACAAAACTGGGACCCTAACCACGAATCGAATGACTGTCGTCAAGACTTGCATATGTATGAAAGTCAAAGATTTAAACACTTCAAGTGATGCAAATGATATCCGAACCCAACTTCCAGATAATGTCCTCCAAGCGCTTCTCCAGTCCATATTCAACAACACGGCAGGTGAAGTGGTGGCTTCCAAAACTGGGAAACGTGAAATGTTGGGAACACCAACCGAGACAGCAATACTTAAGTTTGGTTTGGATCTTGGTGGGGATTTCCAGGCTGAAAGAAAGGCTTGCAAAGTAGTAAAAGTCGAACCTTTTAACTCCACCAAAAAAAGAATGAGTGTAGTATTAGAACTTCCTGAAGGACGTTTACGTGCTCATACTAAAGGTGCTTCAGAGATAATATTGGCTGCCTGTGACAAAGTGATTAATTCTGATGGTGTGGTTGTGCCACTGGATGAGGAGTTATGTAATCATATGAATGCCACTATCAATGAGTTTGCCAACGAAGCACTTAGAACGTTATGCCTTGCGTATCTCGATTTGGAAAGTGGGTTCTCACCTAATGATGATATTCCGGTCTCGGGTTATACTTGTGTGGGGATAGTGGGGATAAAGGATCCGGTTCGGCCTGGAGTTAGGGAATCTGTTGCTCTCTGTCATTCTGCTGGTGTCACTGTTAGGATGGTCACTGGAGATAACATCAACACTGCAAAAGCTATAGCAAGGGAATGTGGGATTTTAACTGATGATGGTGTTGCCATTGAAGGTCCTGTATTTAGGGAGATGAGTCTCGAGGAGATGCACAAAATCATTCCTAAAATCCAGGTTCTTTATTTAATTATTGCATACTCCGTATTTATCTACTTACAAAGTAAAATATTATTTTAAAAATTAAAAAATATTCTAGAAACAAATTTATAGCTCCGTTCCAGTGGGGAGAAAAAATGCTTTCTTTGTAAAAAATGTGATAAAAAAATGTTCTCTGTATAATAGTATTCCTATGTTAAAAAATAAAACTTGATAACTTTTTGAAGAAAATAACGCCTCATTTCGAAAACGGGAAGTCACTCTTCACAGAAGTTTAAAGTATCACATTAGAGCCCTTCTTGTTGTACCCACTTTTGTACATACATTTGTACCCACCCCCTTATTTTGTCTGTGTACACAGACAAACACAGACAAAATGCTGCCTTGTTCTTAAAGAATTGCCTATGTGCACAAGCAAAATAGGGGGTGGGTACAAAAGTGGGTACAAACAGATTTTTTGATCACATTAGGCCTTCGAAAATGTTTCCCTGGAAATAAATGGAGCCTAAAACTTTTTCTTTTCGTTTTCTGTTATGAAGGTGATGGCTAGATCTTCACCACTAGACAAGCACACATTGGTAAAGCAATTGAGAACAACATTTCAAGAAGTTGTGGCAGTAACTGGTGATGGAACTAATGATGCTCCTGCACTTCATGAAGCTGATATTGGGCTTGCAATGGGCATTGCTGGGACTGAGGTGAAAAAAACTAGAACTTTGTGAATCTCTTAGTATATAAATATTAGGAGATTATAAAAATATGGACAAACATATAAAATCAGGTTCACCTTTCTCTAGGTTTTGAAAGGCTAATCCTTACTTCTGATCCCAGGTGGCCAAAGAGAGTGCTGATGTAATCATTCTAGATGACAATTTCTCAACTATCGTGACAGTAGCTAAATGGGGACGCTCAGTTTACATAAACATTCAGAAATTCGTTCAGTTTCAGTTGACTGTTAATGTTGTTGCTTTGATTGTCAACTTCTCTTCAGCTTGTTTAACCGGTAACGAGCATATGCTTTGGTATCTTTTTTGCTTCGCTTATCTGCTATCAACAGGACAAGTATATTTTAACCCGTTCTATTTTTTTACCCACGCTACCAAGCTGCGCTACATCATAGTAACTTTTGACTTACTTATCTGGATGGAATGCTGTTACCGACCACGCTTTTCCTTTCACAAACTTCAACAGATTCAACCAAATAACCCTTAGTCCCTTACCAAATAGGCCCTTAGTTGCCATTTAAATTTTTGGACCACCTGAAATAATTTGTATCAATTGTCTTGCAGGTAGTGCCCCATTAACCGCTGTTCAACTTTTGTGGGTGAATATGATAATGGACACATTGGGAGCACTTGCCTTAGCAACTGAACCCCCTACTGATGAGCTAATGAAGAGGGCTCCAGTAGGAAGGACAGGAAGTTTTATCACAAACGTAATGTGGAGGAATATCTTGGGTCAATCTTTATACCAGTTCATAGTTATCTGGTTTCTTCAGGCTTGTGGAAAATTCATATTCCGTCTTGCTGGCCCTAATGCGGATTTGACCCTCAACACACTTATTTTCAACTCATTCGTCTTCTGTCAGGTGCCTTTCTTAAGCTTTTGCACTTTTTTCCTTGTAGCTTATAATCATTACACTAGGGTTGTACAAAAAGACCTCCAAAACAAAAGTGAGCTAACAACTGTTTGGAAACTTCCCACCATTTTTTGGTCTAAACCATATGCCCACATCTGGTTTGGTTTGGAACCTTCCCACCATTTTTTGGTCTAAACCATATGCCCACATCTGGTTTGGTTTGCTTTTTTGGTCTATACACCTTATCATGTTTGTTACTCTATATTTGCAGCTGTTCAATGAGGTGAATTCTCGGGAGATGGAGAAAACAGATGTGCTTGAAGGCATACTAAACAACTATGTGTTCGTGACAGTCATCAGTGTCACTGTCATCTTCCAGATTATAATCATCGAATACTTGGGCACGTTTGCCAACACAACTCCTCTTAGCTTCTGCCAGTGGTTCCTTAGCGTATTCTTTGGTTTCTTGAGCATGCCAGTTGCTGTGTACCTGAAGAAGATTCCAGTATGAACAAGTTCCATGTGAGATGGATCAGCATCTCTAGTTTTTGTGAAGTTGCGTTTAGAAGTTAAAAAAGTACATTTCTTCCCAGAAATTTTTAACTATGTATCCATATTTTGGAAGGATAGTAAGTAACTTAGTAACATCCCACTTCACTTTTTTCTCTACTTTAGTTGTAGGGTGATTCCTTGTAATAGCTTTGTTTGATTGACTTGGAAAACGAATTCTTATTACTTGATAATGTTAATGTCTTTGTCAAGAGTATATATCAGTAACACTTGAAATAGCTAAATAGGTTAGATTTTTTAAAATGCAACTGAAGAGTAAAAGTTGTTGATTAAGCATAAAATACTTGTACTTAATAATTACTTTTGAAGTGAGACATGTCTAGAAATGAAAATAAGTGTCATTTAATGTGGTTTTCAATCATTTCCAACCAAAGAGTTGTGCCACATTTTTAATTAAGCGATTCAAGCGGCAAAGTAAACTAAGGTAGTGTTGACAAAAAATCTAGAGCACCTATGCTATGCTGTGTGTAGAGAGAGTAGAAACATTATACAATTGTTACATTCAAGTAAATACAATTGTTTCATTGTTTCCTTGGAGAATCAGATGAACAGTTCAAAACGGATTCAATGAATGTCTTTGCACTCTGCAACACCTGCAACTCATCCTCACTGTTACTTGAATTTTCACTTTCCGACTCTATTTGATGGTTTATCTGCTGGAGGGATGCCAACATCTTTTTAAGTTCATTCTGCTTCAGATCATCATCTTTGATCAACTTCACACAGATGAAATGCAGCAATCCTAACACCACATTGAAGTCTCTACTTTGCAACCGAATTAACAAAATGTTCAAAACGGTTGTTCCAAACCCATCCAGTACACCATGGTTGGCTCTTAACATCTTGACCACCGTACCCATTAATTTCTTGAATGCAAGGAAGTCTGTTTCTTTAGTAACTGTTTCAGTTTGCTCCTCATCAGAACCACTTCCTTGTAGTTCAAAGAGTTCTATTCTGGCTAGAACAGAAAGCCAGGAGGGAAGAACACTTTCACTGTCTACTGCAATCTGATGATTCATCATGTGGAAGGATCCAAAGGCCAGAATTAAATCGGGTATCCAAGGGTTAGCAGCAGACAATAAACGAGTTGCGTGGCTATGGCCCATGTTGTGTTCAATGCAAACTGTGAGATTAAGCAATTCATTAGCGAGATGATAAGCTACTAATTGTGGTGTTGAAGCATCAAAGAGATTCTTTAGCACAAGATTTATTAACTTGGCTCCATATGTGAAGGAACTATTTACACACAGTAGTGTGTCATGCATGCCTTCTTCTTTTAATTGAAGCTGGTTAAGGGAATACTTTCTGAAGCAGGAGGAGATAAATTGTACATACTCCAGGGCAAACTTCATACAGGTATGTGGATCTAGGTGAGCAAATTCCATTGAAATAGCATCAACAATGAACTTCAGTACTGCTGTTAGGATCTTCACTTTAGCTGGGAAACACTTGTTATGTCCCTTGGATCTAAATAACTTGTTTGTGCAGTCCAGAAGATGGTCCATTGTCAGATCCGATGCAGTTCTCTATCATAGAAACGGCACAAAAGATGGAAGCATGTCAGCTAAGAATTGCTTACATAATAAAAAGTCATAGAACAAACTAAGCCAGAAAGACATGAAGTATACATGCAGAAGATGCCAAAACAAAGTAAAACAGACTTGTAGGAGATCAAAAGTTTGATTCCTAGTAGATACCATCTTTTCACACTTTCACTTTATCCATGACCTAACTTCAACATAAGTTCTGTATGTGTTGCCAAACAAAACATCCGCATAAGTTCCTTTTGTATCCACCATAATTAAATATGGTAGATGAGACTAAGGGCCACTTTTTAAGAACTTGGTCAATATCTTGATCAATATAGTGCTTCCAAACATGCAAATGGATTATATAATTGTTTGATAGATCAACACACAATATCCAGAAACTATACTAGAATCGAATCAAGAAAACTGGTTTCAGTAGGAAAGAAATTACAGAAGATGAATAATTTCTGGGCAATTCGAGAGTGCCAGAGCTCTCCAGGTTCTAACTGTATAACCGCCTCCTTCTTCTTCCCTTATTCCCTACTCTTATAGTAATTCTATTTTTATGGGCCGGCCCATAATTCTTTACATTGCCCAGACCCTCATTTTTACAATATCTATTGAAATTCATAATATGACTTGCCTAATTTTTTTTTCCTTCTAGGAACATGTATATGTCTTATCACATAGGAATGCATGCACATGTAATGCTCACACAATAGCACATGTAAATGCTAGTACTTTCTTTGGCACGTAGGAGTGCATGCACATGCACTTGCATTGCAATAATTCCCTCTCCCTTAGCAAGGATAGGTCTCCCATGTAATATAAATATTTGTATGCGTATGACCATGAATATAAGAAAGAAACGAGGCTTCTATTTTGTGAAGCATTCTCTCCTAAATAATTCCAGTATATTTCAGTCAATTATATATTTATCCACTTATATTTTTATCATGGTATCAGAGCCGAAATCCTGATAACAGTAAAAAAAAACTCTCCATAACACCTCTTTTACACATAACCCTTTTACCCTACCTTCTTCTTCATTCTCTTTCTAAATTATGGTGGGTGATGGTGAAACGAAGGTCATTACTCTTGAAGCTAAAGACATAGTCATTGATTCTATGTCACCTTATTTTATTCAATCCGGAGATAAGCCCGGAGATGTCCATGTTACCATGACTCTTCGGGATGGAAATTACGGAGATTGGCTCGATGAAATGAGCAACGCCCTATATGCCAAAAATAAGTTTGGCTTTGTAAATGGTGATATTCCGATGCCTCAGTCCGACTCACCATACCTCCCATATTGGCAACGAGCAAATGCCATGGTTAAAGGTTGGCTCAATAGCAGCATGGAAATGGAACCAAGGCAAAGTGTGAAGTTCAAAACGGCCCAGGAGATCTGGACCGATCTAAAAGAAAGATTTGCGAAGGAAAGTGCTCCACGCGCTTATGAGCTTCGGCGCTCTCTTAGCAACATTCGACAAGATGGCCAGTCTATTTCGGCCTATTTTAGCATGTTACGACGTGTGTGGGATGAAATGATCTCTATAAACACGGCGCCTAATTGCACGTGTGGCAAGTGTTCCTGCAATATCTCTAAACAGATAATTGATTCCCGTGATAGAGACCATCTTTATGATTTCTTGATGGGTTTGGACGATGCTTATGCACAATTGAAGAGCCAGATTTTGGCCACAAGGCCGGTTCCTACTCTCACCGCCGCATATCACCTTGTTTCAGAAAGTGAACAACACAGGTCTATCACATCCGCGCGCAAACCAGGTGGTGATGGTACGGCTTTCTACACACAAACTAAAAGGGAACCAATTCCGGGACGACGGTCAACTGTAAAAGATGGTCGGTCTTGCTCCTATTGTGGTAATGATAGTCTCATTGACATCCGGACTGATATTCATATACCATCTGTCAAGATTCCTAATGGTGATTTGGTTCCAGTTCAAGCTATTGGCGGCTTGGATTTATTTAACGGACTCCGCTTACAACAAGTTTTATATATTCCGGAGTTCCGGTGTAACCTACTTTCAGTTAGCCGCCTTACAAAAGATAACAACTGTACACTCACATTTTTTAATGATTTGTGCACTTTGCAGGACTTACCCTCGAGGAAGCTGATTGGGGTGGGCCGACTCCGTGATGGTTTATACTACCTTGAAATTCAAAGAGATGAGAGGGTGGCAATGTCAGTTTCTCTCCATCATAATTTATGGCATCAACGTTTAGGACATGCTTCAGACGGAAAATTAAATTTCATCAATTCTCTCCAAGGTTTCAGACGGAGCAATAATTTCTGTGACTCATGCATACGAGCCAAACAGACTCGTCTGCCTTTTCTTGTCAGTACCATTAAGACAACTCGTTGTTTTGAATTAATACATTGTGATATTTGGGGCGGCTATAAATGTGAGTCCATTTCCGGTGCACGTTACTTCATGACTATAGTTGACGATTTTACAAGGGGTGTTTGGGTTTACTTAATGAAAAATAAATCGGAAGTTCCCCAACTTTTGATTCAATTTTTTAATTTAGTAAAAACCCAATTTGAACAACGGGTTAAACGAGTACGGGCTGATAACGGTGTTGAGTTTCAAACAAGTCTTTTATCGGATTACTATAACCAAAATGGAATTTTGTTGGAGACATCATGCACCGACACACCACAACAAAATGGTGTTGTTGAACGCAAACACAAACACATATTAGAAGTTGCGAGGGCACTTCGCTTCCAGGCTGGATTACCGATTAATTTTTGGGGAGAATGTATTTTGACAGCAGTCTATATCATTAATAGACTTCCATCTCCTATCATAAAAAATAAGACACCTTATGAAATGTTCATTTTCATTTTCATTTACCCCAGTGCCGCAAAGGCTCCCACCCACGGTGGGGTAAGGGGGGGGTCGGATGTACGCAGTCTTACCCCTATACTAAAGCACAGAGAGACTGTTTCCGGATGACCCATAGTGAAAATCGCGTCCAAAATTGCATGGACTGACTGCTGCTTCATTACAAAGAAGCGCAGACAGTTTACTGAGCCATTTTGCTTTATTCCATCATAATCTCAAGCCAAAAAATAATGAATCTTTGGCTCCATTGCAAATGATGGAAATACACCTTATGAAATGTTATTTGGGAAAATACCAAATTATGATCATTTGTGGGTTTTTGGTTGCCTGGTATATGCTCATAACAATAAACAGACGGATAAATTTGGTGAGAGGGGGAGTCCTTGCATATTTATCGGATATCCTAATGGGCAAAAGGCGTATCGCGTCTTTGATCTTCACAAACATATCACCTACAGCTCTAGAGACGTAACCTTTTTTGAAGAAAAATTTCCGTTCAAAATTTCAATTTGTCCGGAAGTTGACTTTGAAATGCTAGTTGATAAGATTTATCAACAACTAACAAATGACGCTCCAGGAAATATTTTGGCTGATCCATCACATGGCTCCTCTTGTCCTTACTCAGCCAGTAAATGCATCCCACCTTTGCAAATGTACAACCGACGTACAGAAGGAGACCCCAACTTCAATGACCAGGCCCCACCTCAAATCACCAAGTTGCATGGAAACCCCTCCCTTCGGCATCAGCCTAACGTAGATGAGCTGCAGATCACCGTTCATCTCCCACACATGGAAGACCCACCGTCGGCAAGGACTGACCAGTCTGCACCGCAGGTCCCTAGCACCGACAACTCAATTTTTGGAAACTCTCAGCCAACTGGTACTGACAGTAGCATGCAGGTCCCGCAAGAAACTACATCCTTGGATGATAGGCAGTCGGCTCCTACCGTCATGAAACAGTTGTCAAATTTAATTGAGTCTCAATCAGCACCAAGTGAGCCCCACCGACGTGCTAGAGTTCGGAAATGCCCTAAACACCTAGCTGATTATGAAACTGATTTGCCACCTTCTCTTGCCCCATCACGGACCACTGCCAATCATGCTGCCACGAAGGTATATCCAATTTCACAATTCATTAATTATAAAAATTTCTCTAACACTCACAGAGCCTATCTTGCCGCCATCACATCTCGTGATGAGCCTAAAAATTTCTCACAAGCAGTACGAGATCCTTTGTGGAGAGAGGCAATGCAAAAAGAAATTGATGCGTTGGAACAAAATGACACATGAACACTTGTCTCATTACCACCAGGAAAGAAGCCGGTTGATTCAAAATGGGTTTATAAAATTAAATATAAACCTAATGGTGATGTGGAGCGATACAAGGCTAGATTAGTAGTCAAGGGATTTACACAAGTTGAGGGTGTCGACTTTCACGAGACTTTTGCCCCTGTGGCCAAACTTGTTACAGTTCGGTGTGTGTTAGCAGTTGCCGCCAAGAAAAATTGGATTGTACATCAATTGGATGTAAACAACGCATTTCTTCACGGAGACCTTTCTGAAGATGTCTACATGCGTCTACCGGCGGGATTTACCAAAGAAGGGGACACCCGTGATTGCAAACTACGGAAATCCTTGTATGGGCTACGATAGGCATCCCGTAATTGGTACCAAAAATTCACTCAAGCCTTTATTGGGGTTGGTTTTCATCAATCCAGGGCAGATCATTCACTCTTTATTTTTCAGGAGGGACCCATTACTACCTTTGTTCTCATCTATGTGGATGATGTTATTTTGGCAGGAAACCATCTCCCTCACATTGACCGAACCAAAAATTATTTGGATGCAAAATTTAGCATCAAAGATTTGGGGAAGCTCAAATACTTCCTTGGCATTGAAGTTGCCCGTTCTCCCGAAGGATTTGTTTTAAGCCAACGCAAATATACACTGGACATTTTAGAAGAAAGTGGCTATCTTGCTAGTCGCCCTAGTTCGTTCCCAATGGAACAAAATTTAAAGCTTAGACCCGACGATGGTACCCCACTTGTCGATGCCTCACCTTATCGACGACTGATTGGGCGACTCTTGTATCTCACTGTGACCCGCCCCGACATCGTATACTCCGTCAGTCAGCTTAGTCAGTTTCTTAGTGCCCCACGCCAAACTCATTTTGACGCAGCTATTCGGGTTCTTCGTTACTTAAAGAACAGTCCTGGCCAGGGTATTTTCTTATCATCCAATGATGACATCACTCTCATAGGCTATTGTGATGCCGACTGGGCTGGTTGCTCATTTACTCGCCGGTCTAGTACTGGCTATCTCATCACCCTTGGTTCTTCTCCCATCTCATGGCGAACAAAGAAACAGTCTGTCGTCTCCCGCTCCTCCGCCGAAGCAGAATACCGAGCAATGGCTGTTACCGTCAGCGAGATTTTATGGTTGCGATGGCTACTACGAGATCTCACCATTCACCAAACAGGTCCCACGTTACTTTACTGTGATAACCAAGCAGCCCGACACATTGCGCTCAATCCCGTTTTCCATGAACGCACCAAACATATTGAAATGGATTGTTATTTCGTCCGTGAACGGGTCGCTAGTAATGAAATCCTACCCCAACACATCTCGACCGTCCATCAAGTTGCTGATATATTCACCAAAGCACTCGGTGCTGAACGATTCCAGTTTCTCCGTAGCAAGTTGGGTGTTCGTAACCTACACACTCCATCTTGAGGGGGAGTATTGAAATTCATAATATGACTTACCTAATTTTTTTTCCTTCTATGAACATGTATATGTCTTATCACATAGGAATGCATGCACATGTAATGCTCACACAATAGCACATGTAAATGCTAATACTTTCTTTGGCACGTAGGAGTGCATGCACATGCACTTGCATTGCAATAATTCCCTCTCCCTTAGCAAGGATAGGTCTCCCATGTAATATAAATATATGTATGCGTATGACCATGAATATAAGAAAGAAACGAGGCTTCTATTTTGTGAAGCATTCTCTCCTAAATAATTCCAGTATATTTCAGTCAATTATATATTTATCCACTTATATTTTTATCAATATCACCCTAGATAATACTATTTTATTATTCTTATTAGTATTATTATCTTGTTCCTATCATTACTCAACGTTGACAACCACCTTGTCCTCAAGGTGGGTGATAGGAAACACGCCTAGAAATCAACTTCATCCTGGCGCCTCTTCCTTCCCAGTACCTCATAGATGGCGGAATCAAGAGCTTCAGTACTTGAAATTTTATTATCCCTTTTGAACAAAGCAGTCCACACCCTGGTTTATCCAAATTCACTTCAGGGAGAGTAATGTTGTTACTCTTGAGAACATAATGCTTGTTCTGTTGCTCAGATTGCCAAGTAGCCCAGCAATTGTTCTCATAAAATTGCAACTGTTTTGAATTGAGATCACTGCTTTCCATATCACAAACAGTTTGTACTGTAATAATTTCTCCAAAAGATCCATGAAGTTTAAGGTATACTCTATCAGTGCATTGACTGCATTCACACCTCATAGAATGGCCTATTCTTCGAACTGAAGATTGTATGAGCAAGAATGCTGTGATGATAAAGGCTCACAGGAATTTTCACTGCTCTTTTCAGATGAAACAAACCAATGATACCTGACATCTTTCTGGTATTTTCCCCAAACATGTTCTTGGCCTTCACTTTGTGGGATAACCTCGATAGCTGTGATACTATCCCTTTAATCAAAGATCCACCAAATTTGAGCAACTGGCAAATTGGTGGCCCTGGAAACTATACTAATTTTCTGGGCAGTTCGAGAGTGCCAGAGCTCTCTAACTGTATAACCGCCTCCTTCTTCCCTTGTTCCCTACTCTTATAGTCATTCTATTTTTATGGGCCAGTCCATAATTCTTTACATGGCCCAGACCCTCATTTTTACAATACCACCCTATTTAATACTCCGTACTATTCTATTATTATTAGTAGTATTATTATCTTGTTCCTATCATTGTTATATAAAATCACAAATACACATTACATGCATAATAAACCATCAAACACACACATTAAGAAATAGACTTGGTGCTCTAAAACACTAAGAAAATTCCATCCAAAGTGACCCATAAAACTCCCCTATATGAAAAGGAAAAAAAACATTAACATGACTTGTAATGTACCTTTGTGGTTGAGGATGATTCTGTGGCTACTTTCCTCTTTGAAGATTGCTTAGCTTCACAGTCACTGACATTTATTGCAGACATTTGCAAGCTAAGAGCTGTGTAAGCTAAAAGTGGATATACATTCATGTCACCACACTCCCAAGGCTGCAAAATACTAAACTCTGAGATAGTCTTCAAAGCAAGAAACACAGTTTCTAATATTCCAGACCCTAGCACAGCTTTTCTTGTACTTTCAAACAGCAGTAGATCATTTACTTGCAAGGCTATTCCCTCAGCAATCTCATAAGTGTCAGCAGAGCTGAATTTGGTCTTGGTCAATGCCTTTTTCAGGTTAGGGTACTTGCATTTTGAAGTTCTTTTGGTGGAGAATTTTTGTTTCTTCCGTTTAGTGGATGGAGCCTCTTGTTCTGCTGAGTCATTCATAGAGTGAACAATTTCTTGAAGAATTTCTGATAGAGATTCAAACATATTATCAAACCAACCACAAGACAACATCATCATGTGTACTGATCTCACCTCAGCTTGCCTTTCCACACTACCAGTAAGTCCACTGCAATTGGTTACCAAGGGCAAGAATTCTTCAAAAAGATCATCAATGGCATCTGCAGAAATTGTTGAAACAATACTACAAATAGAAGATTTAGCTTGGGTTGTAGTTGCTGCACCAAACAGGGTTTGTAGTGTTCTTCCTGATAGCTGTTTCTTAAGACTAGCCTTGAAAGGTGTTTCCTTAATAAGATGGCTATAAAGATGCGATGTGGCAATAATCATACTATTAATCTGATCTTTTTCCAGGTTTTCATCCTCTGAAATAACCAAATGAATCAAAACTTTCAGTAATTTTATTAAGGACGGGAGGGTGGCTCCTGCTGATACAGCGAATTCGCAAAACCTTGATCCAGCTGAAGGAGACCTCTTTATAAGGGTGACACAACGCTTACAAGCTTCTTCCGGTTTAACCTCTGAGGGGAAATATGAAGGGAGAAGAAGTTTAGTGATTTTCTGTGCAACAACTGGTTGATCGCCTGCCAATTGAAAAAGCAATGCATCAATACTGACTACCTGCAAAAGAGAGGAAAATGTAAGTTGATGTAATGTTAGAAAATTCAGTAACCCTCTCCATTCCTATTGTCTACATTGACCAAATTACATTGTTAAAGAAAATGCATTGGAGTGATAAATAAATCATTCTTATACTCAACTAAGATGCCCTCATTTAATATAGAATAATTGCTTGGTGCTCCCTCCTGTCATCAATACAATGCACAGTTGAACAAATTACACAGAGAAAGTAGTGAATATTCTTTTGAATTCTTAAAGAAGATTATGATATTGTGCCGGTTAAGTAATACTTTTTCAAAAAAAATAAACACGAACAGAATGTTTATTATGTACACGCCTTGGGGAAAAAATGAAATGCGTCATAGCAAACAAACTCTAATAAAAAGGGACATTGAGTTTATAAAAGGTGTCTCTTGTAGTAAGGATCAGAGGGAGTGTCGTTTTAGATGATCTATTTAACAGAAGGATATGGAAGGTAATATTTGGAAAAGATATTTAAAGTGAATAGACTTCATAAATAGACATTTAAGAACAAATAAAAAAATTGGTCAGTGAATATAGATCAGTAGGAACTGGAGTAGCTACTACAGCAATACAGACTTTCAGTTATTCAGCAATTTTCTACCTTGTGGAAGTAGAAGTTTCTTATATCACTCAGGCTGAGGAGGAGGTCCACAATGGCAGAACGAATGCAGAGTGCACTATCCGAAATCAAATGACCCAGTCTTGGTAAAAGAACTTTGAGAACCTCATGAGAATGTGGGTTTCCCAGTAGATACACAATACCATTAACTGCAGAAAGTCTGACTTCAGTGCATGCATCATACACCATTTGGTCGAAAATCTTAGTGAGTATTTTAGTTATTGTAAGTGAAGGAATAACTTCCCAAAACATATGAAGAATCCGACAGAACCCTTCAACTGCTACAACTCGCACATCTGGACAATCATCCATGACTAACTTATCCATAAGAAAGATCTGTTTCTCAAGAAGTGCGTCTTTTGCCTCTTTTTTAGCATCAGGATCTTCGAGAGGAAACAAGTCCAGAAGTAGGTGCAGTGCATTTTGACGAACATTTGAGTTTGCAACCTGCAGCAGAGTTTACAATTAACTTCAAAGATCTGTTTGGAACCCATAAAGTATTAGGAAAAATATAAAGAGATTTGAAGGAAAGAAAATAAAGAGTGGGGTGGGGGAATTAAAGATAAGTTAAAACTCAATGAATTTATTGTAAACATTTGTTAATACTACTCATTTTATTTATTTATGCCTATTAAACAGGGTCTAAGAAATAAAAATATCTGTAAACATATATGGAGTATTAGAAACAAACAAATTTCCAGGTTCTTCGTGTTTTCTAAGGTAAAACCAAACAACAACAACAACAATACCCCAATGCCGCAAAGGCTCCAACCTATGGTGGGGTAAGGGGGGTCCGGATGTACACAGCTTACCCCTGTACTAAAGCACAAAGAGATTATTTTGGATGACTCATGAACCATTTTGCTTTATTGTGTCACATTCCCAAGCCAAAAAATAGTGAGTCCTTTGGCTCCATTGGAAATGATGGAACCAAGGTAAAACCAAACATGAGAAAATAAACTCTTCTTAGCATTTATCCTTTTCTCAACATATTCTAGGTAGTACTTTCCAAACAAAGCATGACTTTTGCTCCCATTGCATTATATATGTAGCACAACAAACAACTATGAACTAGCACAACAAATTGAGGGGTTCATATACTCCAATGCCACATTCTGCTTAATGTTAAAACTTCAAAATCCAATTTAAGTCACCTTTACAACATGAACGTGACTGAAATTTATGTCCGTAAAAAACAAAAATAATCCAATAACCATCACAACACCTGCAGGGAGCGGAAAATGACTGGCTCGGCAAGACGAAAAAGGACCCTTTCAACCCCATCAGTAGTTCTCTGAGAAATGAAACCCCACAAAATCCTCCTAATCGATGCAGAAAATGCAGGTGAGCTTGCATGTATAGCACTATCAATCATCAATTGCAAGAACCCATCCTCTATATCAATCCTTGCTTCCCCTTCTGCCGTCTTCCATGCCCTGAAAGATATTTCCCCAAAAGCCTCCAAAGCTGATTTACGCCCAAAAGGAACCTGTGACCTAATCATTGCCAATGCCTCTTTCACTAGTTGCCTGCTTAATCCAAACATAAATGCTATAAACTTCCTGCCATTTTCCGTTTTTAAGAAAAGAGGTGAAATCAAACATCTCATCATCAGTAGCTTCAAATCTGCAATGCTGTCATCTTCAAAATCAAACAACAACAACGCTTCACGCATAGCATACACTCTGTGCACATCGATTTTCTTCTTAAAAGTCAAAGCCCTAGACAACATAAACGGCAGTGACTGAGTTATAAGTGATTCCTTACCTGTTAAATCCCTTTTCCACCACACCTCACATACGCTAGCAGTTTCACATGACAGACCAGTATCCATTTCAAATAACACCAAATTATTATGCAACTCACGAGCAGCCGGTAGCAAGTCAGAAGCATTGAATATACCTCTAGGATGTGATATGCATTGGAGCAAAATGTAAGCAAAAAACTGCAAAGTTTCCAAAACAGACTGCCTGACATCTTCAGTTCTGTCCTTGCTTTCTTTTGCGCTTGAATCGACGTCTTCTTTTTCCCGGTTTCGACCAGACCTCCGAACCCTCTTGGGCGGAGGCGTCTTGGGGGAATTTTCTCCCGAAGCAAGGTCTGGGCCGTCGTAGTTCGGGTCGTTGAGGTTCTTTAACTTCTGAATTGCTTGAGAAATGGAGTTGCAGAGGGCCGTAGGGAGAGAACCCACGATCTCAGGAGAAGCTTTGAGACTGTGAATTAGGGTTCTGAGATGGGGCTTCGATTCGCTTTTGAACCCTTGTTTGGCAGCTGACAATAGAAAGTCTACTGGTGAAGTACGGAAGGTTGAGCGAAGCCTCTTCTCCATTGAAGGCCGGAGAATTCTGTCGGCGAATCAGTTCGTTCCCTGAAAGCGAGTGAAGCGTGCCGGTGACATTGGGTGTCGCAATTGATTCTGGTGACGGGCGAATGAGAATCAATACCATCTGTTCGATTGGGATCCAGACCGTTAATTTGCCACTTGTATAACATAACTCTATTTATTTGTGGGTCACGTGATATTGAATTATAAGCTTAAAATTTTTGAACTCTAACAAAATTCGGCGCCTTTATTAGCTAGCCGTTACCACCTCCATAGCAAAGTCGGGGCTCTCATTATTAGCTTTAAATTTTAAGATATGGTACGGGCGATTAGGGTACAATCAAACCAAATGTTCCATCTATCCTTAAATTAAGTTCTTAGTTTCACTTCACAACTTTTGAAGTAGAATTTATTTATGTGTTAAAAACTTTTCTAAAATATCCTTGGAGGGTAAAAGGCAAACCCTATGATAAAAGATTTCAGGTGTTGGCCTATCCATAGTACAAAAACACTTTACAACCAGAGTATCACTCTATATATAGATTTATAAAACTTAACTAGTGTTCATCATATAGATTTAAAAAGGTTCCTTGAAGTATAAAGAAAGACAATTAAAGGTTTTAATTTAATAATCAATTTTTTTGGTTGAAAAACTTTTAGTTCAGCCAGTTAAAATAAACACTATTTTATTTGGAAGAAGTTAAAATAAACACTATTAAAAAGTGTAGTTCTTAATTTAAATCAAGCAAAATGTATATCAAACATCTATAAATGAATTAAGTTATATAATTAATCACGCAATTAGTAACTTCTTAATAATAGTTGTTCAGCTACTAGTTAGGCGAAAACAAAAGTTTAGAAACTTCTTTAATTTTAGAATGTATAAGAACCAACAACTCATCAAATCCATTTCCTTATAGTTGTTGGCCGGTCTTATAAGGTAACCCAAAATACAATACAATTCTCTAAGTTACAACTACACATTCATAAAGATCTTCCCTTAAGACTATACCATACTTCCTCTCTTTGCATAACCAATCCTTTGATAGAAAATATTGACGATATCAAACACATATGTGCACGTAGTTTTTTTATCATTATGTGCGCATAGTTATAAATTACTAAGGGATAAGGCTCAAAAAGGACACTAATGTTACTTACGAATCTCAAATTGGACACTTAGCTTTTACGTGGACCAAATTAACACATAATTCACTTATTAGAGTTACATTTGGCCACCCACTAACGTTTCTTATTAACGGTCCATCTTTTAATCGTCCACCGTCAAATTAATAGAAATCCAAAAGTTGCTCCCATTGCCAACACTCCCTTTTTTTGTCGATGGATCTGGTGCCCAGTGGGTAAGTAAGTATTGATGCTTAGGTCAATTACTTTTGCCACCTTTGGCATACCTGGAAAAGCTTTCCCATGTCCGGCTGAGTTGTTGTACCAGTAGAATAAGCCATTGAGAAGAGGGGCAAGGAGAGACACTCGCTAGGCAATTCTTATGCTTTCAGGGGGAATGTTCACCAGCAACTTCTACTTTTTGCTTGCAGCTTTGCTTTGGAGACTCAGAAGATTTTGGCATGAGCTTTTGGAAACAAGCCTGGAACAGTGGACCTGGAGACAGAGCCGCTGGCAGAGTCGGAGTCTGGAGAGGCGGAGAGGAAGGACGGCCGACGCAGGTCACTGGACGCGTGGACGGAAGTTGGCGTCGCGGTTGGTAGCCTGGTGTTCGTGTCTTCGTCGCAGGGTCGCAGCTCACATCTTCTTCGTCGCAAGCTCGGAAGCTCAGTCTTCGTTCTTCGACTATCCTTCTTCGTTAAAATGAGATGTTAGTGGGTGGCCAAATGTTATCCAAATAAGTGAATTATGTGTTAATTTGGTCCATTTAAAAGTTAAGTGTCCAAATTGAGATCACCAAATAACCTTAGTGTCCTTTTTTAGCCTTATCCCTATTACCAAAATACTCTTATATATGAACACTATTAACAACACTTATAATTCAAACATTTCAACAAGCACTTAGTAGACATAAAGTTAAATCAATCTTTTCACAAGGATAATTTTGTTTAAATCTGTCTAATCAAAGATAGTTAACACGCAACTTCCAAATTACAAACCGAAGGGCTAAATAGAGGAGCAAAACAAAAAATTGAAGATATACAAACAACAAAACAACATCCAAGCCTTAATCCCAAAAGATTTTGGGTCGATTAACATGAATCGATCCATGAAATCGGTTTTTGGTATCGTGTCTGTCCCAAACCAGGATAAAGGAGGAGGAGGGTGGTAGACGCGTCACGGTCAACAGTATCACTTAGTCACATCACATCACATGAATCGGGAGAAAATGAAGATATACAAAAATAAAATTTTAAATAAAAAGCTAATCTTAAAGTAGAATAAACCTTTGATTTGGATTTAAATGGTACCCTTAGTCTATTTGTCAAACACCCAAACTAACAAAAGATAGCTTAAATCTCATAACCTTCCTCTAATATGGGTGAGATTCTCTCATAGTCGGTCACTAGTCATCGGAATTCATCGGAATCATGTCTCTGTAGATTGCGACTCTGTACACGCCGGACGCACTCGTTGATGAACTAGCAACTGATCACTCGCATTTTGACATCAGATCACCTAGGCACATGAGAGAAGAACAATCACCATCAAATTAGATTGGTGAAGAAGATCACGGGAAAACTTTTATCTTCCGGCAAACAAAGTTTTTCTTTATAAAGAAGTGAACAATAGTTCTCATTTTTCAGCCTAATAAACACTTCTCATTTGAGTTTTTCCTTATTACCTTTGGGGTTAAAAATGATTTTTCCCTATATATATTTCTTATGTAGTTTTTTATTTACTACACTTTCCCTTTTGAGATGTATTTTGTTTTTGCTACACTTTACCTTGTAATAAGTTTTCCCTTTAAAAATACTCGATCATTCTTATCTTTTCTACTTTTATCATTTCTTTCATATTTTTCTATAGGGGTGGGCAAATCGATTTCAGTTCGGTTTCGGTTTGGAAGATATTGTACCAAACTAAAATCACTTGTGTTTCGGTTTGGTTTGGTTTCAAGTTCATATTATCAAAGTGAAAAATATTAGATTTAATTTAGTTCGATTTGGTTCAGTTTCATATGTTTACTGTTTTATTTGTTCAAGTTCTATATTTAGAAATAGAAAATGAAAATAGTAGTCTATGTCATCTTCTTGTATTTATTATTTAAAAAAAAATGTGAAGGAAAATAAAAGAGAGAAAAATAAATAGTAAAATATTATAAATTATCACTTAATTTATATTTTTTAAGATTGATGACATGAAAATACCCAGCCTCTTTTCAACGACTAGAAGAAAGGTTCACCTCTTACATTATAAAATATTCAAAGAAAACTAAATGAGTTGTCAGTAAAAATGTTGTAAATTTCATAATTTTACTCAAATGAATCATGTAAAATGTATATTTTCTTTAGTTTAACTAAAATTGATATAAACGCAATGTGCTATTGTCATTGTCAAACATCTTTTCATACATGTAGAGTACAATATTTAACAAGTACAATAAATTCCTATTAGCTAATTTTATCATAATGAATGTAATGAATGTCTAATTAAGTTAAAATTTTACATGCTAAGCATGTATTTTTCATGCACAAGTTATTTATTTTTTCCCTAAAGATGAAAAGTGAAGACAAATACAAAATATTTTTATAAATATTACAAGTTGTTCGGTTCGATTTACGGTTTTTCTGGTTTAAAACCAAACAAAGCCAAATCATTCGGTTTTAGAAAATTACTACCACATGATTTACTTAAGTATACCGAAACGTCTCTAAAAAAAGTGTACTCAAATCAAAGTATAGTAACAATTTTTGGTTTGATTCAGTTAAACCAAACCGTTTTGTCAAGTGGTACATTTTTACACTATTCATTATACTTGCTACTTTTCACTTGAGTATTCTGTCAAACACTATTGTAGCAAATATTTCAATGCGAAAGTTGTATATAAACACACACATTTCTTTTATACATAGTGTATACGAAAAAATTCCATTTTTGGTCCTGTGACTATTATACCACTTCCACATTTAGTCTCTTACTTTCAGATTGTCCACATTTAGTCTGTGACCATTATCTCCTCACCACCTATCGTCCTTCCGGCCAAAATTCCGGCAAATTTAATGCAGATTTTAGGTATGAAAACTCAAATTTAATGCAAAGACTGATATGAAAAACCCAACCTTATATAAAATTTAATGCAAAAACTGATTCTGAGGCTGATAAGTGGACTAAATTTGCCGGAATTTTGGCCAGAAGGACGAGGGGTGGTGAGGGGATAATGGTCACGGACTAAATATGGACAATCTGAAAGTAAGGGACTAAATGTGAAAATGGTATAATAGTCATGGGACCAAAAGTGGAATTTTTTCTAGTATATACACATATTTTAGATCGTATACTAAATTTTATATCGTGCATAGGACCGATGAAAGTTTATTAATGATTGATATAAGAAATCATTGGCCCATTGCATATTTATGACTAAAAAGTTATAGAAATGTGAACACTTAAATGTAACGACTACATTCCATGGATTACACTTATTATGTATTTCGATAGATACTAAATGATTTTGGTGTAATCATAGGCAATTAGGCACACAAGTTTTTATTAGAAATATTATCGACACACCTTAAATTTCAAAATGCCACTAGGAAGAAACAAAGAGGAAAGAGATATGCCACACACAATCAATCTATCTTCTTAAAGGTTTTTGCCTTCACTTACTTTTTTGTCAAATACTAATGCATCACCATTAAATAATATCACATGTATCGTGAAATCGGAAGGCAACATTGGAGGTGGGGCCAACCGCGATTAATCTGCTACCATATTTTCACATATGAAGCTACAACTAGGGAGGATTTCTTAGGAAGGAGGTTGTTGGCATTCATCGATAACCATCGCACGGATAAAGAACTCACTAGAGAAGTTGATTAATTTTCCTTGTAGGGGAACAAAGGAGGCCATTGGCAGGCCAAGAGTTTTTCATATTGCTGGCTCTCACTATGCTTAATAGGAATAATACTACTTTGCTAAAAAATAGAGTTTTAGTACAATAAAATCCCAGTAATTCCACCATAATTAAAATAGAATTCTACAAGTCTT